CGGCCACTACCACCGTTGAACCGTCGCCTCTTGCCTATAAATACAAGGTTTAATTTCGGAGAAAACTTTACTTCAATCTTCAAACCACCTCCAAACTTCTTTTATATCTCCCTCTCTTCATCTCTTCTCTCTCATTATCCGTTACTCTCGTTCTTTTAGTGCTAGAAAATATAAAACTCCGCCTATCTCCATTTCCTTCAGTTTGAATCAATGGCGAAAACTTCCAAAACAGTTCCTCGGAAAGAAAAAGCTTCCTCGTCCTCTTCCCGGCCGGCCGGCCGGTGATAAAGCGCCAGCTCTTCACGAGATCATTCCCGGCCCCTGCATCACAAAGAAAGACTTCAGAATAGAAAATCCCCCCGCGATTCCTGGTCGATGCGAGCACGTTTCGAGTTACGTTGGCTTGATAATGGAGAAGCACATCAAGGCCATGAAGAAAGACTATGGCTGGGGGAACGAGGTCGTGGTACAGATCCCCGACCCCAAGGAGAGCATTACCACTCATGTGGAGGGATTTCTAAGTGTTTACACTTACCCCTTCACACTGGGTCCCCTCAATCCAGTCGTGATCGACTTCTGCAAAAGATACCAAGTCACCATCGGCCAGATCCATCCTTATTTCTGGCATATAGTGAAGATGCTTCGTTACTTCTCCAGCAAGGCCTTGGGGCTAGAGTTTACCCTCAACCACCTCATCAGATTGTACCAGCCTCAGATTTTCCGAGGGCTGATCAAGCTCCAACGCCGATCGAGCAAGGCCTTCTTTGCTAGCAATGACGATGATATGGACGGGGACTGGATGAGCCGGTTCGTGTGAGTGAGGACCTCGGACGTCATCCCCGAGGGTAAAATGCCATTCCCAGAGAAATGGAACCCCGATCGTAAGTGAAGTCCTCTCCCCAGTGTCTTCCTATATTTTGTTTTTTACATTGTATGATTCTTTTACCTTTTTTGCATGCTTGGATGACCCATGCGATTCACGACCTTGAAGATTAGGTCCGGAAATTAACCGTGAACTCCTCGTATGATGAACGCAAATGGCGTGACTTGTCGAAAAAAATGGGAGGCCAAACACCACGATAAGTCCTTCTTCTAAATTTTTGACGCTTTCCCCTTTACTGGATATGTCACCTTACTCATACCTATTCTTCACTCATGTAGGTCTTGGAGATGCTTCCGAAATGAGGCCATCCCCACCCGAGGAAGAGACCGAGTCCCCGATTCCAAAATCGGGGAAAGATAACAAGAGGAAAAGGTCTTCGAAACCCGGAGACCCCCAAGATAAGAGAACCTCTGCTCGAAGACAAAGGAGGAAACTCATTCAAGTGGACATAGATTCACTTCATCAACTAAATGATGAAGAATAGGACGAGGGCGAAGAATTGGCGTTGGTGACCCGAACCAGGAAGCCAAGGCCGTCAAGTCCTCCGAACCGGAAACCCTGCCTCGTGAAGAGGAGGTTCCGAAGAAAAATGCGGGCAAAGCCCCCGAATCACCTGAGATCGAGATCATTCCCTACCCCCCCCCCCCCCCCCCCTTCAACAAGTACACAAAAGGGGGCAAGTACCGAGACCCACGAGGCTGAACAGAGCGCCCCGAGCGACTCGCTCGGGGCCATGATAATAGGTTACTCCCCTCCTCTACCATCTTATTCTGAGGAGGCAATAAAGAAACCTCAAGCTCTGCGAACGCCGGACCCGAGAAGAGTTCCCGGTGAAGAACATTTTCGGGATTGCTTTACTGGGGTCGATGATGCTGCCGACCTCAACGACGCATCTACCCTCTTCGAAGAGGCTCACCGTCTTTTTGTTCGGGTAAGCATTAACTCTTATTGCTGTAATTACTTCTTCTTCCCCTATCCTAACTGATATCTCTTTTTTTGTGTAGGCTATTACCAGGTTCAGGGCCGAGCTGAGCTAATGTGAGGTCGAGCTCAAGAAGTCTTCGGCAGAAGGGAAGGCCCTGAGGCTCCTTTGCAGCCAAAAGGAGGAGGAGCTCAAGGACCTTCGGGCAGACTTGGCCAAAGCTCGTCAAAATGAGGCCGAGCTAGACAAGCAGGTAACCATAATTTTGCAAGAATATGGTCTACTTGACCCAACTTTAGAGGCTAACACTTCAGTGTCTCAGCTGCAGAAAAAATTGGAAATAGTTGGGCAGCTTTGAGGGGAGGTCGATCAAGTTAAGGCCTACTGCAACCAGTGGAAGGAAAATATGGATCGGCTTGCTGCTGAGAGAGAGGCTGCTCTAGCCCAAATGGCCTCGGCTGAGACCCAGCTCCGGGGTGTCAAAGTGAAAAATCTGGCTAAGGCCAAGAAGATCGATGAGCTTGAGGCCAAACTTGCCGCAATCGGGGCGAGGTTGCTGAAGCCAAGGCCGAGGTCGAGAAGATGAAGGCCACGGCTGATAAGACTGTTGCTGTGTACCCAAAGGATGTTGAGGCTGCTCAAATGGAACTAAGGGAAGCCTCTAACCGGGAGAAATGGATCAGCGATTTGGCCAAGTGTCAATCCCGGAGGGAGACCCTTGAAGAGATCCATGCTCGAGGTTTCGACCTCACCGAGGAAATAGCCCAAGAAAAAGCGCTCGAAGGCGATGCCAAGTTCCTCGTCTCCTCTGACAACGATGATGATACCGAAGGCAGCCAAAGCGGGTCCGATAATGAAGCTGGGCCCGAAGAAGAAGCTGCTCCCGAGGGAGAGACCAGCCCTGGGCATAGATAGGATTTCCTTCTCTCTTTTTGTATTTTTTCTTTTTTGTAAGACCTTTCATCAGTATCTTGTATATTTCTTTTTCTAAGTATATATAAAAAGAATTTCCTTGAATATTTTCTCGATATTTCCTGCCTTGTAAAATTCTTGTAATGACTTCATTCTTTTTAATTGTGTGTTTGAGATTTTATCTCAAGTGTTTTCTTCGAAATTGCCATGGTCGAGTTTGAATAAGTTCGAACTTTGGGACATAGACCCTTACGGGCCCGTGCCGGATAATGGTGAGTCCCCGAGCCATGATCAAGCCATTATTTGTTTAGGCTTGGGATAAACGAACCCTTGGGTTCGGATCGGGTGAGAACAAGGTCTCGAACCCTAAGTGTATTGGCCCTTAGGATCTTTTAGGTCGGGCCATTATGGCCTCTATGAGATGGCTATTATTTTCCCTTTTTGGCTTAGTAGACTTAGTAAAAATTTGCTTAGGACTTGGCATGCGTTTTTTGCCCATTGGGTTTTTTGATGGTTCGGTGTTGATCGGAACCCTTTATTTTTAGTACCTTAGCACGAGTTCGTATTTGAATACTTCGATACCTCTTAAGGTTTTCGAGGGCTGATTTTATCGAAGCCCTTTGATTATTTTGCCGAGGGTAGCCTTTATTTAACCATTTTTTTTAGAATTCGAAGGCCTGTTTTTATTGCGGAATTAGGACGTCTCCGAGCCGCGTTATTTCGGCCGTAGCCTTTATTTCGGTCGTAGCCTTCTTGTATGTCTCTAGGACTTGTTTCCCGATAACATTTCGAACTTGTTCGAAATGTCAATCCTCGAGTTTGATGGCCTTGGCCTTTACGTCGAGGGATGCCAATTTTAGGACTTACAAATCGAGTTTAGACATGTTGACTATCGATGACAGTACCCGAGTATTCGAGGTATATTTGCGTTTTGGCCCTTGATCCATTTCTCACAGAATCACAAGTATGAAGTTCGTATAGTAGAAAATTTATTTGAGACACAAAGTGTTTTGATATAGAAAGAATGCTTCTTTGAATAATTGATACATGCATACATGTTTTGCCATCGGGGCTTGGCTATTCTATATGAACATGGTTCATCTGACCGTTTGGTCCATTACAAAGTTTTCCTATCGAGGCCCTCTTTGGCGTGAAGTATTTTCCTCGAAAATATAACCTCCAAGGGTGATGCCCCCCCAGTATTCGAGGTTGATTTAAAAGAAGCCTTGGATACTATTGAATTCTCCTTAGGTAGCACATAGTTGGTGCCTCGTTAAAAACCTCGCCGAAAAAACCCATTTGGGATAAAACCCGATCTAAGGGAAAAAGAGTGCAACGCGTGCTTTAAAATCTAAGGTCTTCGCGTAGAGGGGTTCTCTTCGATGTCTTCGATCAAACATATGCAATGAGTTAGTCTTAAATATAAATGGAAAAGGGGAGAAAGTCATACCTTAGCAATAATATCGTTTGAGTAGTGATACATTCCAATTGTTTGGCAATTGTTCACCTTCCATCGTGCCAAGTTTGTACGATCCTTTTCCGATAACTCCGATGACTCGGTACAGTCCTTCCCAATTCGGTCCTAGTTTCCCTTCGTTTGGGTCTCGAGTATTGAGGGTGACTTTCCGTAGAACTAAGTCCCCGATTCCGAAGTGTCGAAGGTTGGTCCTTCTATTATAATATCTCTCGATTCTTTGTTTCTGTGTGGCCATCCGAACAAGTGTAGCTTCTCGTTTTTTATCTAATAGCTCGAGGCTAGTATTCAAAGTCTCATGATTTGATTCCTCCGATGCATGTCGAAATATGGCACTGGGTTCCCCGACCTCGACTGGAATCAAGGCCTCGGAGCCGTATACTAAAGAGAATGGGGTTGCCCCCGTGATGGACTTTGACGTCGTCCGATATGCCCAAAGAACCTCAGGTAGAACTTCTCTCCATTTTCCTTTTGCGTCGTTCAACCTTTTCTTTAAGTTTTGAATGATAGTTTTATTTGTTGATTCGGCCTATCCGTTCCCGCTCGGGTGGTACGGTGTTAATAGGATCTTCTTTATTTTGTGTGCTTCGAGGAACTCCATTACATTGTTGCCGAAGAGTTGTTTCCCATTGTCGCATACGATTTCGGCAGGTATCCCGAATCGACACACGATGTGGTCCCAGATGAAGTCAATAACTTCTTTTTCTCTGACCTTCTCAAAGGCCTGTGCTTCTACCCATTTAGAAAAGCAGTCAGTCATAAACAAAATGAATTTAGCTTTACCCGGGGCCGTTGGTAGAGGGACGACAATGTCCATTCCTTATTTCATGAAAGGCCAGGGGACAGGACTGAGTGAAGCTGCTCTCCGAGCTGATGAATCATCGGTGCAGACATTTGACATTTATCACACTGTTTAACAAACTCCTTAGTATCTTTTTACATGTTATCCCAATAATACCCTGCTCTAATAATTCTGCGAATCAAAGACTCGGCTCCGGAGTGATTCCCACAAGTGCCTTTGTAGATTTCTCATAGAACATTATCGGTGTTCCCCGGCCCTAAATATACCGTCAATGGTCCATCGAACGTCCTCTTGTACAATGTTCCATCTTCATCTAATGTGAACCTAGCAGCCTTAGTTCGTATAGCCCTCAATTCTTTATGATCCGATGGGAGCTTTCCATTTTTCAAATATTCGATATACTTATTCCTCCAGTCCCAAGTCAAACTGGTAGAATTTATCTCGGCATGACCCTCTTCGACCACAGACCTCGATAATTGGACGACAGTTCCTGGGACAATATCATCTCCTTCAACTGATGATCCCAAGTTAGCAAGTGCATTAGCCTCACTATTTTGTTCTCGAGGCACATGATATAGAGTCCACGAGGCACATGATATAGAGTCCACTCCTTGAAGCGGTGCAAGGTTACATGTAGCTTGTCCAAATATCTTTGCATTCTATCCTCTCGAACTTCGAAGCTTTTGTTTACTTGGTTCACCACCAACAGAGAATCGCACTTGGCTTCAATGAATTCTGCCCCCTAGCTCGAGACCTGCAATTATGGCCTCATACTCGACCTCATTATTAGTCAACCTAGAAGTTTTAATAGATTGTCTAATAATGTTACATGTAGGTGGCTTCAAAACGATGCCAAGCCCGGACCATTTCACATTCGAGGCTCCGTCTGTGAAGAGGGTCCACACCCCCGATGATTGGGTACGAGGGTTGGTGTAAAATTGGCCACGAAGTCAGATAAGATTTGAGACTTGATGGTCGTTCGGGGTTGATATTCGATATCCTACCCGCCAAGTTCGACGGCCCATTTAGCCAATCAGCCTGATAACTCGGGCTTATGCAAAACATTTCGGAGAGGATAAGTGGTTAACACACATATCGGGTGACACTGGAAATATGGCTTTAGCTTTCTAGATGCGCTTATTAATGCAAGTGCTAATTTTTCTAAGTGTGGATATCTAGTTTCATTATCTCCTAGAGTTCGACTTACGTAATAGACAGGGAACTGCGTACCTAGCTCTTCTCGAACTAGTACCCTACTTACCGCTATTCAGACACTACCAAATATAAGTAAAGCTTTTCATCTACCTTCGTAGTGTGAAGCAGATGTGGGCTCGATAAGTATCGCTTCAATTCCTCCAATGCTTGTTGGCATTCTGGGGTCCATGCAAAATCTTTTTTCTTTTTGAGTAAAGAAAAAAACCTGTGGCTTCGATCTGATGACCCCGAAATGAATCGGCCCAAGGCGGCTATCCGTCATATTAACCTTTGTACGGCTTTCACACCATCTATGATAGTGATATCTTCGATGGACTTGATCTTGTTGGGGTTTATTTCGATTCCCCGATTTGATACCATAAAGCTGAGGAACTTGCCTGAAACGACCCCGAAGGCACATTTTTCTGGGTTAAGCTTCATTTTGTACTTCCTCAAGATTTAAATGTTTCCTGAAAATGAGTTAAATGGTCCTCTGCGCGCAGGGACTTAACTAACATATCGTCAATGTAAACTTCCATCGATTTACCTATCCGTTCCTCGATCATTTTGTTAACTAGGCGTTGGTATGTAGCTCGAGCATTTTTTAGCCCCAAGGGCATTACATTGTAACAGTATGTTCCAAACTTAGTGATAAACGAGGTCTTCTCCTGGTCCTCCGGGTTCATCTGAATTTGATTGTACCCGGAGTAGGCGTCGAGAAAGGTAAGGATCTCGTGGCCGGCCGTGGTATCAATCATGCGATCGATGTTAGGCAGTGGAAAGGAGTCTTTTGGACATGCGTTGTTTAAATCCTTATAATCTACGCACATTCTAAGTTTGTTCCCTTTATTAGGGACTACAACTACGTTGTCTAACCATTTGGGTTATTTTACCTCCCGAATAGACCCTATTTTAAGAAGTTTAGTTACCTCATCCTTTATGAATGCATTCTTTACCTCGGACTGGGGCCTCCTTTTTTGCTTTACTGTTTGAACCTGGGGTCGAGGCTTAGTCGGTGTGTTGTTATTTCCAGTGGGATCCCTGTCATGTCTAAGTGGGACCAAGAAAAACAATCCATGTTATCGATAGGAAATTGAATGAGTTTTTTCCTGAATTCGGGGGTCAACCCCGTTCCCAGGTATACCTTTCTTTAGGGCATATACTCGATCAGTATGACCTATTCCAGCCCCTCGACCGTTGACTTGGTTGAATCTGACTCTTTGGAAACAACAAAAGTTCGAGGGGTAAGGAAATCCTCTTCTTCTTCTTTGATTACCTGTTTCTCTGATTCGGTCGAGGCTGGGGACGGTGATTGCTATTTGGCTGCCTGCTTATCTTTGGTGCTCGATTTTTCCGAGTTTGAAGGCACGGTATCGGTGTCACCTCATCGACTGCAAATATTTCCTTTGCAGCGTGTTATTCCCCGTAAACTATTTTTACACCATCCACTATTGGGAATTTCATCATCTGATGAAGGGTTGAAGGTACTGCCCTCATGTTGTGGATCCACGGCCTCCCGAGTAGCGCATTATCTCATGTCGCCTTCGATCACATGGAGCTTTGTATCATGGATGGTCCCGGCCACGTTCACTGGTAGGATTATCTCCCCCTTCGCTGTTTCGCTCGCCATGTTGAAGCCATTTAGAACTCGAGATGCAAATACAATTTGGTCCTGTAGGCCGAGCTGCTCTACAAACCTTGATCTGATTATGTTTGCTAAGCTACCGGGATCCACTAGAACACGTTTAACTTGAATTTTATTTAACAAAATAAAAATTACCAGGGCGTCATTGTGCGGCTGAGATATGCCTTCCGCTTCCTCGTCATTGAACGATAGGACGCCCTCGGGCACATAACTCCGAGTCCATTTTTCTCTGGTGATCGACACCTTGGTGTGTTTGAATATAGGCCCTTGTGGAACATCGACACCGTCACCGATCAAATGAATTACATGTTGCGGTTCTTCCTGCTCATTTTTTCTGTTTGCGTCTCTTTCTCTAAAGTGATTCTTAGCTCGATCACTGAGAAACTCTCGAAGATGACCCTCGTTGAACAATCGAGCTACATCCTCCCTCAGCTGCCTGAAGTCTTCGGTCCAAGTGTGCCATGATATTTACACATCAAGTTTGGATTTCTTTGAGAAGGATCGGTTTGTATAGGCCTGGGCCACCTGGTGTCTTTGATCCTTCCAATAGCCGATACGATCCCCGATGCATCAACATTGAAATTATACTCCGACAACCGAGGTGCTTCTGCGGGATCGGTATGTTTATCAAAACCATTCTTACTCATAAGTCACCAAGAATTTTGTCCTCGATTGTTACTTTGATCATTCCGAGGAGGATTGCGCCCCGAACCGTTGTTTCTTCGATCCGCGACATATGGCTGATACCGTTCCCTATTTGATCTTGGTTCCCTATATGTATCCCTCGGGGCCTTAACTGCCAATCTATTTGGATGAACTGAGCCCGAGGGGGCTCTCGGCTGGTCGTCCTCGACCCCGATCTTCGAGTGATAATGATTATGTACATCTGCCCAAGTCATAGCAGGATACTCGATCAAATTTTGCTTAAACTGTCGTGACGCGATCAAACTCTGCTCGTTTAACCCCTGTGTAAAAGCTTGCACGGCCCAATCATCCGAGACCGGTGGTAATTCCATTCGCTCCATTTGAAATCGGGATACGAACTCCCTTAGCATCTCATCATTCCTCCGTCTTAATCTTAAAAATGTCTGATTTCCTTGTCGCAACCTTTATGGCCCTGGCGTGTGCCTTCATGAAGGCGTCTGCCAACATAGCAAACGAATCGGTAGAATTTGGTAGCAAGTTGTGATACCAAATCATAGCTCCCTTTGACAAAGTTTCCCCAAATTTTTTCAACAAAACTGACTCGATCTCATCATCATTTAAGTCGTTTCCTTTAATCCCGCAAGTGTACGAGGTAATTCATTAGGATCGCTCGTGCCGTTTTATTTAGGTATATCGGGCATATGAACCTTTTTAGGAATGATCTTCGGAGCCTCACTCGGAGGGAATGGCTTTTGTACGAATTTCTTTGCATCCGAACCTTTCAAGACCGGGGGTGCCCCCGATATTTGATCAACACGGGAGTTATACGTCTCTACTATTTTGTCATTATCCTCAATCTTTTTTCCCCCGACTCGATTATTTTGGTGAGCTCCTCGAGCATCCTCATAATCGTGGGGTCAGTCCCCGATCAATTACCGTTCGATCTCTCGGGCACCAGCTTAGTACGACGAGTGATTTTTGGTTCAACCACACTTAGAGTTTGAAGCTGAGCGATAGCAATCTGTTGAGCTTTTAACATCTCGAATATTACTTGGAAGCTAACTCCCCCATCTCCTATATCCTGTGTTCCTTGGCCTCCGGGGTCTGCGCCTAAATCCGCATTCAAAGCAATGTGTGAACTAACATCGACTGGTTCCACATTTGGCACTTCCCCAGGGTTAATCGGTGGTACACCGGCTCCAGGAGCAACTACATAGTTGTTTTCCCCATCAAATCCAAGACCATCATCGCCGTGTATGGGTGCGTTTTGTGAGTTTGACGTGTTTTAACCAGAGAACAAAAATTCTTGACAAGAACAAGTGTGAAAATAACGTGTGCTATCAGAATCAGTACTGAAACAACCACTATTATCTTTAGCCCACGGTGGGCGCCAAACTGTTTACCTCGAAAATACGAGTAACAATTAAACTTGTTTATGATTTTAAAGATACGTGATTTAGTTCAATACTAGTTAATAACCAAGAAATCAAACGTATAAGTTAAGAAATTAAGTTGGATCAAACCGGTTCTTAAGCCAATCTTGACCTCGAGCTATGATGGCCTCGAGGTAGGTTAGCAAGAACAGTAAAGTAAAGACAGTAAAGTCAAGAAATAATTCTGATGAGTAATGAGCAAGAAAGTAAAGAGTATATTCTTTTGCCAATGATTGATGCTGGCTACAAATGATTGGGGTCCCCTTTATATAGTAGGAGAACCCTAAATAAGGTACATTTCTATTTACAGTAAGGAATCTTATTAGGACAACTGTCTAACCATCTAGTACAGATTCGTACTAACCGGTACAAATATATTCCGGAATTTACGCCATGATCTTGGGGACGTGGCAGGAATCTTGCTCTTTCTGTTACAAAACCAATAACGGCATCATCTAAGGGTTGGTCATACTCGGCTTCGGTGCTTATCGCGTACTTCGATATTCGAGCCTTATATTCTGCCCTCGGGCTCGAACCCGGCCCATATCGAGTTTGTTCCTCGATGCGAACCCTCGAGCCTACAAAATCGGGGACACATGATTTTACCGTATACACCACCAAAAATTAGCTTCAGCCAGCAACCCAAAGAAATAGCCCACCACATGAATCATACATTCTATCACCTTCAAAGAAAATGAACACCACGAGAGACTTTATAAAAGAAAAATATGTCATCGAGCATAATTTACGATGCTGATGGATTGTCTTCGCGAAAGTATACTATTATATAACTCACGTGACATCAAAAACTCCATTCTAATACTTTTTCGGATTCAGTGGCTATGTATAGCGTTTCTTTGTGCCCATTGTAAATAAAGTTTTTTTTCTTTCTCAGCTACACTCTTCCCTTTCTCATGTCCAGCATTTTGTTAAGTGGATGCGCAGGGGGAGAGCAATCGGGTCCGACGAGATTCCAAAAGAATTTTGGGGGTCAGTGAGTACAACAGGATTAGAGTGGCTAATTAGGTTGTTTAATATTATTTTCAGGATGAAAAAGATGCCAGAAGAATGGAGGTGGAGTACGATGTTACCTCTGTACAAGAACAAAGACGATATCCAGAATTGTAACAACTATAGAGGTATCAAGTTACTAAGTCATAACATGAAGGTTTGGGAGAGGGTAGTGGAAGTGAGGGTGAGGAGGTCGGTGTCGATATCCGATAACTAGTTTGGGTTCATGCCTGTTCGTTCTACTACGGAAGCTATCTATCTTATAAGAAAGTTGGTTGAACTGTACAGGGATAGGAAGAAGGATTTGCACATGGTATTTACTGACATAAAAAAGTCATATGACAAGGTCTCTAGGGAAGTTCTTTGGAGATGTCTGGAGGTGAAAGGTGTTCCGGTTGCTTATATTAGGGTGATTAAGGACATGTACGATGGAGCTAAGACGCGGGTTAGGATAGTGGGGGGCGACTCAGAGCATTTCTCGGTCGTTATGGGTTTACACCAAGGATCGGCGCTCAGCCCGTTCTTATTTGTCGTGGCGATGGACGTACTAATACACCATATCCAAGGGGAGGTGCCATGTTGTATGTTATTTGCCGATGATATTGTTCTGATCGATGAGACACGAGACAGTTTTAGTGAGAGGTTAGAGGTTTGGAGACAGACCCTTGAGTCTAAAGGTTTCAAGTTGAGCAGGACTAAGACAGAATACGTGGAGTGCAAGTTCAGCGGCATTTCGGGAGAAGCGGACATGGACGTGAGGCTTGACTCTCAAGTCATTCCCAAGAAAGGAAGCTTCAAGTACCTGGGGTCGGTTATCCAGGAGGATGAGGAGATTGATAAGGTTGTTACGCACCGTATAGGGGTGGGGTGGATGAAATGGAGGCTAGCGTCTAGTGTCTTGTGCGACAGGAAGGTGCCCCCGAAACTTAAAGGTAAGTCCTACAGACCGGTGGTTAGACCGTCCATGATGTATGGTGCTGAGTGTCGGCCAGTCAAGAATTCTCATATCCAAAAGATGAAAGTTGCAGAAATGAGGATGTTGAGATGGATGTGCAGGCACACTAGGCTGGATAATTAAGATTAGGAATGAAGATATCGAGGTGAAGGTGGGCGTAGCCCCCATAAAAGACAAGATGCGGGCAGCTAGGCTTAGATGATTCGGGCACGTGTGAAGGAGAAGCATGGATGCCCCGGTTAGGAAGTGTGAACGGCTAGCCTTGATGGGTGTGAGAAAAGGTAGAGGGCGGCCAAAGGAATATTGGGGAGAGATGATCAGGCAGGACCTGGTGGGGCTTCAGATTTCCAAGGACATGGCCCTTGATAGGAAGTTGTGGAGGACGAGCATTAAGGTTGTAGGTTAGCAAGTAGGAGGCTAGCATGAGTTCTGTCTTAGACTGCTAGTGGCTTCAATTGTATCCATATTACTTCTTTAAGGCTGCAGGTTAGGTCGTAGGAGGCTAGTCCATTAATGTATTGTCTTAGGATGCTAGTGGCTCTTGTTGTATCCATATTACTCCATTTTGTCTATACTAATGTGCCATTGTTACTGCTTATTGTTATTATTTTTCTCTCTATTTTTTTGTTATTATGTTGCTGATGTTATCTTTCTTTCTTTCTTGCTTCCTCTGATATAACTGCGCCATTGTCTCTTTCCATCTTCTTGAGCCGGGGATCTATCGGAAATGACCTCTCCAGTGGCGGATCCAAAATTTTCATCAAAGGGTGTCAAAATATAAATAATTAGATATATCGAAAAGTCAAGGGGAGTCAACGTATAGTAAATATACATAAAAATAAAAAGAATTATCTAGCAAAATAGTATAATTTTCCGACGAAGGGGTGTCCCTTGACACCCCTTGCTTCAATGTGGCTCCGCCGCTGGGCCTCTCTACTCCTCTGGAGTAGGGGTAAGGTCTATGTACTCATAACCCTCCTCAGAGTCTACTTGTGGGATTTCACTAGGTTGTTGTTGTTTGTTGTTGGTCTTTAGCATCTCCTTTTTTTTGTTTTGCGTGCATAATCAACTAATTTTTTAATTTTAAAATCTTGGAATTTTATATTAGTGAACGCATGCGTACAGAAACATGGGCTTCTGATTATGAAACTTTGGGAGAAGAAATGAGAGGATAGATATAGCAACGAAAATGTCTCTAGTCTTCTCCTTGGAACTCTTCCAACGTTTGAAATAGACAAGATGGGGCGATGTGGTGGACGGCGACTTCTTGGTGAAGGAGAATAGATCTAACATCTAAGCCAATTTTGTGTATTATTGAGCAGGGAGCTGGGAGATTCAAAAGTAGCCAAATTTATAAGTGGTCATTCAAAAATAGCCACAATTTCAAAAGTAATCGAAATTTAGCCACTTTTTATGTAAAGATAAATCTGAAGAAAACACTGTTCAAAATCGGGAAATACTCCAGCATAATATACTGGAGTTCCAGCATAAGCATACTGGAACTCCAGTATATTATAATGGAGTTCCAGCATAAGTATACTGGAACTTCAACATATTATAATGGAGTTCCAGCGTAAGTATACTGGAACTCCAGCATAATATATTGGAGTTCCGGTATAATATACCGGTCCAGTATAATATGCTGGAAGTTCATACACAGGTGCTCTAATCTCCAGTATATTATGCTGGAACTTTCCGCGTGTTGGAGTTTCAACATAATATGCTAGAAGTTCATACACAGGTACACCGATCTCCAGTATATTATGCTGGATCGGTCCCTGTTGCAGTAAAATAGTAGCTATTTTTGACTTTGTAAATGCTGATTATTTTTGAATGACCAGTCCGAAAACTGGCTAGCCCGTGCTATTTTAACCAGGGAGCTGTTTCATGTGTTTGCATTAGAAATTGGGCCTCCCTTCAAAATTTTATGGGGCAACGACAGTAATTTCAATATTTGGCAGCACCGACTGGAATTAATTTTGCCACTGGGGCATTTCTGTCATTCCCCCTTTTGAATTTATCACGAAAAATACTAAATAATCGTGGGCCCGAGCCATACCATCACTAGTGTATAGATATAAGAAGGGATTTTTACTTTCCTATACCATATATGAAACCTTATTACCCTCAATGTTTAAGGTTTTAGTTAATTACATTTCAGCATACCAAATTACCATTTTTATACCATAATTCAAATTAGGGATATAATTAAGGGTTCATTTATATTAGGCATAATTATAGGACTGTATCTTACCACTTTCTCTTTCCTTTCATCTCAACTGTTCACAACACACACACACAACTCACGATGCTCCTATGCTTCCTCTCGTTGATCATCCCCAACTGCCCACCGCCTCTCAATTGTTATTAAGAATCGAAGAATATCATATTTTCAGATTCACAAGAAAATATTAAATTCTTTGATCGAACCGCTTGAATTCCCACTGGAAATAATAATGGCAGAGAGTTCGAAATTTCAAACACAAATAGAAATCAAGCAACCAATGGCGGCGGCGAGATTCTCACTTTTTGATATCTGAATTTCTTTCGAGCTATGACATTTTGTATGGAGATCACTTCATGAATTGCCTATTCTTGAAACCCTATTTTTTTTTTTGGGGGGATTTTTACATTCCTATGCCATATAGGAAACCTTTTGTAGTCAACATTTTTTTTCAATATAAATTGTAGTATAAATATAGTAATTTTGTAGATACTCTTAAAAACAATACAGCTTTATACAATACTTAAACTGATTTGTAGTTTATTTGTAGTTTTTTTGAAGAAATTTTGTAGGTCAAGAGAAAATTTTGTAGTCAACATTTTTTTTCAACATAGATCGTAGTTTAATTGTAGTATAAATGTGGTAATTTTGTAGATACCCTTAAAAACAATACAGCTTTATACAATACTAAAACTGATTTGTAGTTTATTTGTAGTTTTTTTTTTGTAGATGAATAGAAGATTTTGTAGTCAACATTTTTTTTCAACATAGATCGTAGTTTAGTTGTAGTATAAATGTAGTGATTTTGTAGATACCCTTAAAAACAATACAGCTTTATACAATACTAAAACTCATTTGTAGTTATTTGTAGATAAATGTAGGAATTTTGTAGATATTAACATAAAATCAGACTTCCTCTTCTCCATTCTTTCTTCTTCTCAAGAAATACATAGATGAGACCCATTTTTTATAATCAGATTTTTTCCATTCAATTGTAGCATGATGGGATTTTGAACACGATTGAGTGTTGTTGCTGAGGTATTGTTCTATATTTTATTGTTTTTCTAATTTGTATATTGAGAGAAAAAAAGATGAAGAACAGATTTGATTTCAGTTTGTTGAAGCTTTTAGTATTTCTTTTTTTTAATTACGAAAAATATTCCAATGGCTTTGCCTACCAATCAAATCTGATCTGGAGAAAAATACGCAGATGAGAAATCTCCTTTCCCTTTCTAAAAATTGAATTAATGTAGAATCAATTAACACCAAGATTCTCTCCTTAATTTTAGCGCGTTTATTAGGGAATATTCTGCCCTTTTAACGCCTAATAGTCGAATGGTATATAAATTGTAGTAAAAGTATGGACTGGGCGGGTAATTAACAAACTATGCACATTTAGGGTAATAAGGTTTCATATATGGTATAGTTAGGAAAAAATCTCATATAAGAAAGACTAACTTGCTCCAAATATTATAATCACTTCAATTTGAAATAGAGAAATTTTCATAACGCACTATCTTTTAGTAGTAATTAGCCATCTATAGATACCATTTGCTATATTACGGAATATAGATACATTTTCTGTGGTTATAAGATATATAAGATGTATTTAAGTTATTGTATTCATGAATACAGTAGCAAAAATATGCGTGAATCAGGGAAGTCCAGCTAATCAGTTGTTGTATTCGAGTGTATTCGACTGTATTCATGGAGTGAAACATGGGATTACAGCTGGACAGATTATTGTATTCACAACGTGAAATAGGGGATTACACTGTTTTTAAAACGGAAAGTGAATCAATTAACATAATAGACTCCTAATATAACTCAACAAACTCAATTATAACACACAAATTTTGTATTTTTCAGTTATAAAAAAGATTCTCAACCGCAAAATACAATGAAATAGATAGAATACAAAGGGATACATTGAAATACAATGAGAAAAAAAGACTCAGAATACAATGAAATACATGGAATACAACGAGATACATTGAATTACAATGAAAAAAAGATAGTGAATACAATGAAATAAATAGAAATACAGCGAGATTCATTGAAATGCTCTTAAAAAAAAAGGTAACAAAATCTTCAAATTGCTCAACCCCAAACTTCAGACGACCTATTTTAGTCGACAATTTTTCGACGACCCATCGGATTCCGACCATGATTCCATAAGCAGCGATGAGAGAAAATTCCAAATTAATAAGGCCTACAGTCCACATGAACTCGACAGAGTCGTATGCTTTCCGACCCGAACTCGAGTGAGGACCCACAACTCCCGCCCCTTTCCCCTGTAGTTGAAAGTTGAAACCCTAATCAGACGGAAAATCTTTAGAAGTCAGTCGTAGTGTTAGGGTAAATTGAGAGAAGGAAGATGCCTCCTCTGTCGTTTGACAAAATCGGCAAAGTATTGCCCTTCTCCAGGCTGTGTTCCTGCTTTAGAGTCCTTGTCGCTAGATCGGAAATTTTAATGGAATGGAGGAAGAGAATAGGATGTATCAAAGTAGAGAGAGAAAGAAAATAGTGTAACTGATTAGCGTATTTAGTGGCTTAGGGCTAGGAAGTAACCAAAATTAAATATTTTGCTATAAACCTTAAAAGGTATCTATAGAATATAATTTTTTTAAATGGTATTTAAAATAAATAAGGTGTTAACCTTTGCTATAGAAGGTAAAAATTCCTTTGAAATATGCTTTAGTAAAATGATTGTATTTTACTATGACTTTGCTTTTACTGCTATATTTCTTGATTTTAATCTTTTACTATAGCAACTTCTTCTATTTTTTAAAGAAGATATTCATGTTACAACTTAGAATTTAGTAGTAAGGGTTAAAACGGGTATTTAAGGAACGCGAATATCTTATTAAAAATTTCATAAAAAATATTATAAAATCTCATTAAAAATTATTCTCCTTTTACACAAATATCTTCTTTTTTAAAATTTATAAAAAAATAAATATATAAGAACTTTTTATTTATGATTTTAATTTATCTTTTAACAATTATGTTTTAATAAAATTAATATGGATATACCTCATAAGGAGTGTAGTGTAGGATTTCCATAGTATAGGAGGTGTAATTATTTAATTTTAAAGTACAAGGATATTTAATATAATTAACCCAAAAATTTATCCTTCAAAACAAGTTTCATTACAAAAATATAGACATAAGGGAGGCAGAAGCAGAAAAGGGATTCCACAACCCATTCGATTCATTAGGTCCAAAATATATTACTTATACATGAATGTCCGAGAGAAATATAGGCTCAACTGAACAACTAAAGAAATGTAAGTGTAATATCCAAAACCAACAAGGGAAGTAGCGCTACAAAGCACCCGAAAGGATGTTATATCTTTTTTTTTTTTTTTTAAATAACTAGAATAGTAAAGGGACTCAAACTCTAATCAGTTTTGCGTGTAAGAATTGGAACCTAAATCTTTCAAACTCTAACTAAAGGAAATGGAAGGGGGATTTCACAAAATTCAAACCAAAATTAGTGGACTGAAAGAAAATACAAGCTTACCATGGTTTTAAAACTTTATAAATTTATCTTTTTGATAAAACCCAGTGAAAGTAATACACGTTCGTCAAGTAACTTGCTACAACAAGAACCGGAAGTATCACAACACTCCCTCTGTCTCAATTTATGTGCCATACTTTCCTTTTTAGTCTGTCCTAAAAAGAATGTTATACTTTCTTATTTAGAAACAATTTAATTTAAAACTCCTACTTTACCCTTTATGAGATGATTTATAGCCACACAAATATCTATGGCTTATTTTAGACCATAAGTTTCTCGAGAGTTTTTTTTTTAATCTCCGTGCCAAGTCAAATACCGTCACATAAATTGGAATGGAGAGAGTAATAAACAAAGCTCAAAGAGTTCATTCAATAGGCAAAGGTCCATATGTAAAACCGGAGTTCTGAGATTGTGAAAAGCTTAACATTTCACTCCAAAAAAAAAATGTCTCAATACATATATACTACAGAAACTACTGAACAGAGTTAAAAAGTTTCCTAAAATTGCTATGCTATATACACCAAAAGAGGTGTTACATTCACATCCTACTTAGAAGAGACCAACAATTAGAGTGACGAAGCACACATAATGGTACCATAAAAAGAATGAATCTAATTCTGCGAGTTAAGATTGGCCTATTCAGTGCAAAAACATCTTTAATGCAAGAGAATTCAAATTCATCAACCACGACGTGGACAGACATTAGCAAAGTGACCTGGATCACCGCAGATGAAACATCGGCCAGTTATTGGTTCACCTGTTGCTGACACAAATGACACACCACTGGTATTTGGACCACCTTGGCCACGGCCTCCTCTTCTGCTGCTAGTGGACGCAGAAGTATTTGTACGCTCACCTCCATTGAGGGTATCTTCCCAACTGCAATGCAGGCAAAAAGGTGTATCAACTAGCAAACTACTTTAATGCTATCAAGGGCTCTGAGTAATACAGATAAATCTAAGCAATTATAACGAAGTTCCAATGTCAGCAATTCGATTTCGCCGTCCTCTAAGACAGTAATTACTCCAATATACAAATGATTTTCCAGTAGTATAATGCTATGAATTCTATTTGCAAATGAGCGTCAGCTATAAGTGTTGCAGCAGTTTTTTACAGGTTGGCTGAACAGAATATCAACTATGACAGGTCTGAGGCAATATTTTGGTGAGCTATATAATTAGTTGTCAAGGTTTACAGAGTTATATCTTTCTAGATCATGGTGTTTTTAGTTTTATAAAGACCCAGAGAGAGAAGGTACAACAAGATAGAAAAGATTACATATAGTAAGTTTTCAGGTGGAAACTATTTCCAAAAATAAAATATCATGTTGAAATATAGTTTTCCCTACATGAAAAAATTGCACTCCCGTGATTGACATGAAAAGAACTTTCTTCCCCTGTTGTTGGCAGTATTGGCAGTGCGCAAATTGCAAGGCGCTCCACATGAATTACAAGGGATTGAAGGTTCTCCTGCATTGTTAGAAAGGATTAGCTATAAAGTTTGTAATTAACAATAGAGCAGGATCTGTCCTATATCACATCACATACCAATATATTTTTTTCACATTTTGAATTCTGTCCTCACAGTGTCACTTCATGTACTCTTTAGTTGCTTTAACAATATTCTATTTGATACGCTGAGAATTGGAAAGGATAGAGAGTAAAAGTAACTGGAGAACATCCTGAGGTTAGCAAGGGAGGTAATAGCAGGATAACAAAAATTCCATGGATATCGGGTGTTCATGATTCATGGGTCGGTTTTCTCCTAAAAAGAAACCAAACCAATTAAGTCAGTTTTTAAAATATGGGAATCAAAGCAAACCAATTAAGTCGGTTTTTTATTGGTTCGATTTTGTCGATTTTTCAATTTTTTTATCGATTTTTTCTTAAATATGAGACATACACTGCCAAACACATATTCCACCGACTACATTCCAACATAATATTATCAAACCAATAACTCTTTGAGAAAATTCGTCATTTACCAAAATATTTTGATGATAATTGAATTAAATAGTGATGAAAATTTTAAAGGCTCAATTAAAGACAAAATATTTATAACACGAAACAAATTTTTGAACTTAGCATAATAAAACTACCAATCAAACTAGAATGTAAATGTAAAGAACTAGATTTTTGTAAAAGCAAAGAACTACAATACCAACTAAGAGTGCAAACAATTAATATGTATACCATAAAATTAAAAAACTTATAATATATATAGAGTGTGTGTGTGTGTAATAATACGTTTTAAATAGGTATTTCTAGGGTCGGTTTGGTTCAGTTTTTCTGGTTATTAAAAGCAAAACCAAAACAAAACCAAATTTGATCGGTTCTTAAAATTCAAAACCAAAACCAACCAAAAAGTTGTTTTTTTTTTTATCGGTTTATCAGTTTTTCATGACAATCCGCGATATCATATACTCAGACCAATTTGGTGGGCCAAAGGATAACTTTTGTCATTCCAAAAGTGAACTATGGAAGCAATAGAAGAAAACCATGGACTCTGTAAGTTTCAAAATTTTTGTCATAGAAGTGACAAAGCTGCAATACCATTGTGTTTAATTTCAAAAACCGGTACCATTGCACTCCCCCAATTTATGTGACATTCTTTCCTTTATAGTCAACCCCAAAAAGGATGACATCTTTCTATATTTAGTAACAATTCAACTTTAAATTTTCCTTTTCACCCTTAATGTGATGATTTCTGCCACACAAATTTCTATGGTTTGAGTTTCTAAAATCTTTCTCTATTTTTTATTTTTTGTGCCCAGTCAAACACCTTCACATACAATTAGTATGGAGGGAGTACTAAGCAACACTCACTATTGCAATATTTGTATAAGAAATAGACTTCTATCTAACTCAACCAAAAACTAGCTCATGAGGTGAGGATTACTAACCAAAAACTAGCTCATGAGGTGAGGATTACTAACCAATATGAGACTATAACATCCCCGCATGCCTAGCTTTAGACATCTCTAGCATCGACAACATAACATGGGGGCCAAAAATTGGGTAAAACCAAGAAAAAGAGGGGTTTGGCTCTGAGACCAATGTAAAAAGAAAAAGAGTTTGGGCTTAACTCATGTGAAGATTGTCCAAGACACACAAAGAAACAACAACACATTTCCTCAACTAATGTGGAGAAATTTTATTTTGAGTGAAATATGCCATGTAATACTTGAGTGAAGGCATTGATTGCTTGCCAAATGGCACCTGTGGGACCCGCAATTAATGAAAAACTAAAAAAAATACTCCCCCCCTCTCTCTCCATTCACCAAACCNTTTACTATATTCATATGTCAAAATGAGTGTTGGAGAGGGAGTACATTGTGGTGGATGGGGAAGGAGGCATGAGATTTGAAAAATAATTACAAGTTCATACAAGGGCTGTGGGGTGTATTTACCGTCTGTCATCGAGGTACAAATTTTCAGTATAATTGCATACTTAAATATGACTTTTGTCTGTTTCATTGTTTATCCGGAAAAAATTAATTGTAATGTAAAATTAAGTATCCATTATGTAGTAATAGAATTCTTAAAACGTTCTTTCCAGGAAATTGAATAATTTGACATTTTTATGGCGAGTTAGTGATTTTATTGGACAAAGGACTTCTGCTACGAAAATTAAATTATATTTTTCGTTTGACGAATTACCGATAACGATATAAAATTTTGTCCAGTATTTACTATATTCACATGTCAAAATGAATATTGGGGTACACTGCAATGGATGGAGTGTCTCGAATGGAGAAAAATGCATGAGATCTGAAAAATAATTACAAGTCCATACAAGGACTGTGGGGTGTATTTACAGGCTGTCATCAAGGTACAAATTTTCAGTATTTGACATTTTATCTAACAGTTTTGTTTTCTAGTCATGAGTTGAGGTATATTTACTTCACGTGCCTAAATTGGCTCTGATCGGTGAAGAGCACCAGAACGTAAATTTGAACAAATTAAAAAAATCCGACTTATGCGATTTGAATTTGAGACATTTTGGTCTTGACACCCCTATCTTGACTCTTAGGTTAAGGCATTAGCATATAATTTTGTACAAATATATAAATTTCGATCTTTTTTATTTATGAAGAATAGTGGTTTTGATCGTGAAGTTATTTCTCTATATCATTTGACTCTTGTAATAGTCAACAAAGTATATTTGACCCTTCAATTAAAGGAAGTTGCTAATTTTGATCTAATCATTAACATAAGTACAAAAGACAAAAACAAATTGTTTAGTTATTGCTAGAGAATAACATGTGTAGTAACTGATTTCTCTTTTGAGCCTTTTTAGTGATTAGTTGGATCAATATCATCAACTTTGTCTAAGTCAAGGTTGAACGTTTTAATTCGAATATGATAGAAACAGAATCAGAATACTATAACAATAACTCAATGACTAAAACTATCATTCTAAGAGCAATTAGTAAGAGTTAATTCGCCAATATATATAATTCTAATCTGTCAACTTATAGCTCATTTTATTAGGATTGAATTTAGTTTAAATATACCAAATTTTGTTCAAACCAAAAATCCCACAATGTGATTTTCACATGCTATAGGACACATCCAATTAACCAAATGTGTACAATATTTGTGATCAAAGAAAAAATAAATATGCATTTCTCTTATACTCTTTGAGCGAATAGAGTGAGGATCCATATAACCACACGATATATGTTGAAAGATTAGAGAGCAATAAAAGAGGAAAGGAAACTTAAAACTTTTCTTTGCTCGATACAGTAGCAACCTTTCTCGAAAAAACTTGCGTTTTTTGGTCCTTAATCTCGAGCACTAATTACAAATTTGTTAGTAAATTTTCTAGCTATACGAGAAAATATGTCAACATCTGATTGAATTTTATTTTTTTGTTCGTGTAATTAATTTATTTTGATAAAATAAATCTTGGTCTTTTTCATATCAACTAAACTTATAAAATGAGTTGTTCGGAAGAACGTCTCTTGAGTTAATCTAACCAAATTTTGAGTTAATCTCGAGGAAGAACGTCTCTTGATTACCTCCGCTTTGAGAAAGGCAATATTTGAAGTATTGATATATTTGTGAATATCCCCAACAGTTTATGAGATTTTTCGGAATAGGCATCCTCTATTCGTGTGGCTAAATTGCAGCATAATTGCTTTCAATATATAGCAAATTGATTTTGTTTAAATTGTCTCTCATTGGTTTTTTAAGCAAATTATTTTATACTACAAAAGTTAAGGACGAAAAAAAAAGACTCATATGGCTATCTTAGGAATGATCTAGCATCAGTCGAACAAAATAATTCAATATTTCACCACTATCATAGATACTGATCGCCAGATATTTGCAATATCACAGATATTGATTGCAAGATGATTGCAAATATTAAAAAGTGAATAGGCAACACTATTATTTTTGAGCAAATGGAGCCTACTTAAATTATTTGGTCACCAATAATATATGTGCCAAAGAAACTGGTTGGGCCTTCTCTTATTTGTTTATTAGATGGTGTGTGCCCGTGCTATGCACAGGCGTATGCTCGACATTATTAAGAAATTTCAAAAGTATAATAGCTCTTAAACTTGTAAAGCTGGTTTTATAAGCAAAAGATATTAGAATGCATAGCACTCACCCAAAAAGTACTCAAATACAACTCCCTTTTCCCCTACAAGAATTACCGTAGATGCTTACATACACTGGTACACTCGTTCATATTGTTCATTTCTCATATAATTTGGTTGAAGCAAAAACGGAACATTTCTTTTATCATCAAATAGTGCTAGTATAGTACCCTTTTTCCTTAGTTTGCTATAGCCGTGTGTCTGTTCTATTACTACTTACCTTCGGTAATTACGTAGTTTGCTAGCAGGACTTCGTCATATTCTCGTGTGCTACCTTCAGAGGCGAATCCAGGATTTGAGGCTTATGGGTTCCTACCGTAATTTTAGATTAATGTGTAATAATAACTGGGTTCACAATTAGATATTTACAAATATTTAGTGATTTTCTTAATATAAATACATGGTCTACGCAAAAGTTACTGGGATCCCGGGAACCCATATACTACACTCTAGGTCCGCCCCTGGACACCCCTCCTCACGCCCAGGCCTGCAAACTGGAGCGTGGACAACATAAATGGGGGTGCAACATCGGTAACAATAATTGGGATGGGCCTGCCTCTAATACCATCTGTAACAGCCCAGCCCACTAGTGATATTGTCCGCTCTGGGCCTAGGCCCTCACGGGTTAAAACGCGTTACTAGGCTCTAAGGCTTGTTAACTTGTAAGTTTTACCGATGTTAGACTTTGTCTAACGTCTTGAGTGTTACACACACCCCCTCTTTATGGGATTCGCCTAGACTCAGCACTGAGGTTTGCCCCGCCTAACCGGAATTTGCCTAAGCTCAGTCGAACTTTGACCCACTATCGGCAAGGCCGACACAAGAGTGGCTCTGATACCATAATAAATAGACCTTAGACGTAACTCAACCCCAAAAGCTAGCTTATGAGGTGAGGATTGCGCAAGACCATATAAGGAGACCAAGGACCTCAAATCCCACCGATGTGGGACAACTCAACACAGCCTTTGCACAGAGTGGTCCCACAGGTAGCCTACTGTTTTCCAAAAAAAAAAAAAACACGGCAATGGAAGTTCCGTTTTCTGCAAGAAAGCATGTTCTGTTTTAGAAAAACAAACAATCGTTTTATGGGCCATAAGATAACCTCAAAAAGGAAAGCAATCATCAGAATTGCAAATAAAAGTACATCGAAACAAAAGCTCTAGACGGGTGTTCCTTGCATACCGAAAGTGTTTGAACTACTGCGAGCACCAGTTCCGCAAATTTCCACCAGCTGCCTTAGAATATCATCACACCCACCAATGCAACCTTAGAAGATTATAGAACGTTCACTGTTATATAGCTGCACTGTCTAGAAGCAACATTAACATTGTGTATGCACTTCATAAGTTCCATGACTTTATAATGCATATATAATTTTTGAGAAATTTTTGTATTTTATGCTAAAAGATAATTCCTTGCAGAGTGTGACAGTTTAATCTTTTGTCAGGCTCTCCTTATTTTTAATTTATGATCCCCTGTGCCACTGAAAAGAAAACACAATCATATATCATAGCACCAAAATATGTCTTTTTCTGTTTGATTGGTGAAACTAATATTCTCCAACTCAACCAACCACAACCACACCATGACTGGTGCTGTCAGCAATGACAACACAGTGATCTCATTCTCTTTTTGTGCCACTTTGGAATGTTTAACACAACTAGTTCATTTTGGTATGCCTCCCACGTCGCTCTCTTACTGTCACTACCAAATGTGAAGCCCCGCCATCAACACCCACCAAACTGTAAAGTATCAAACTTGCAAATATTTATTCAACTTTAACCATCTATAGCAAATGTTACACCTAGAAAAGAAGAGGTGGATTGTAAACAATTTAATATTGAGCATGCACATTCTCATGCTTAATAATTTAAAATAGAATGACTTTGAATTCCTTTCAGTATATTATCATGCAGCATATTCATCATTCAGACTTCTCCATTTCAGCATTTGAGAACTCACAACACATATGTTCAACAAAAAGACTATTAACTTTATTAAATAATTGGAAATAAAGTAAGAAGATAGAAAATTAAAGAGAAGAGATCTTAAAAGGGAGCCAGCAAGCCTTGTAATTCTTTATACACATTTGTTCAAGGAAGAAAATATTTTCAACTATTTAACGTTCCATTGAACAATAAAAAGGGATAGGGTCTCTTAGGAAGACTTAGACGAGATCGACTTTCACAAAACAGTCCCAGTGTCCATCTTACCTATATGATGAGCACTATAATTTGGCGGTATTTCCAGCCGACGAAATCTAAACTGAATCTTGTATACTGGTCCTGAATGTCATCTTTGGAAATCAGGAAACCAAACATAGAAAAAGATGTATAGGATAAGGTTATCCAATCCAGTACAAGAAAAGAAAAACTCCAAGAAGCAACCTGGACCGCAGCTGGTGCACGTATTCTCCATAACAGAAGCTTCTGATAGAGATCCAGGTAGCCAGACAACATTTCTGCACTGCATGAACAAGATAAAGCAGCAACATGTCAGTAGCAATAATTTTACTAGGATTCTTAACTACATAATTGTTATAACACTACTCCACAAACCATATATCAACCAAAGCAAATCATAATACGCGATCATTAACACTTTGCAATTTTACATTGGTAATAATAGGAGATTTGAAATTCAAGAGAAGTGAGACTTGATGTCAATCTCCTAATATATAGCTGATTTACAACAACTAACTCAATCAAATCAAATCAAACTACACCAAATTAATAAAAATTACTAGACAATTTCAGAAAATCATGTGTATAGAATCTCGATATTTAGAATGGAAAAGAACTGAAGGAAAGAAAAGGAGAGAACAATACTGTATTCTCAAAATAAACTTAGGACAAAAATTGTCCCCTCTCCTTCCCTTCCCTTCCAAATCCTTCCATTTAAAAGTAACATTACTCGTGACAGTTGCTAGAATAGTTATTGTATTTTGCTGAAATTATTTGTGCTACTGAACAAATGGATAACTACTAAATTTTGACACTTTTTGAAATAAAACGCGTAGTGACAGATCGTACGAGATTTCTTAATTACATGAATGGCATATAACTGAAGATTTCAAGAAGAAGAATGAAACTTCTTGTGTTTCAGTACATTTTTACATCCAACGAGCACTAGTATTTATATAGAGGTTCCTATCGCTAATTTAGGAGAGGAAATCAATTACAGTTACTACACAAATTAATTAGAATAAAATCTCCTAGAATAGAATCAAATCTCCTACAATTAAGTTTCTTATAATCAAGCTAGTCAACATAATCAAATCTCCTAAAATTAAGTTTCCTACAATCAAGCTAGTCAACACTCTCCCTCAAGTTGGTACAAAGATGTCACACATGCCCCCACTTGCAAACCAAAGTGTGGAAGGTTCGTCTGTTGAGGAGCTTTTGTAAACACATCAGCTAGTTGTTTCACTGATGATACATGAATTAAAGTCAAAACACCATCTGTAATCTTTTCTTTGATGAAGTTTCGTTCAATTTCAACATGTTTCGTTCGGTCATGTTGGATAGGATTATGAGTTATGCTGATTGCAATCTTGTTATCATAATACAAGGAAAGTTTCCCTTTTTTAGACAATTTTCAATTCCTCTAGTAGCTTTTGTAACCACAAAAGTTCACAAAAACTCTGGGTCATAGTTCTGTATTCTGCCTCGGCACTTGATCTAGCAACTACACTTTGCTTCTTGCTTCTCCAAGTAACCAAGTTCCCTCCTACGAGTGTACAATAACCGGATGTAAATCTTCTGTCATCTAGAGATCCATCTGCATCTATATAAGCTTCTATACACCATGTTAGGAGAAAAGGAGACCCTTGCTTGGAGCAGACTTTAGATATCGCAAAATGTGGAAGCCAGCTTGCATATGAGAATCCCTAGGACCATGCATGAACTGACTTACCAGGCTAACTGAGTAAGCTACATCTGGTCTAGTGTGGGAGAGATAAATGAGTCTTCAACCAACCTCTGATATATCTCCTTATCAAGGACTCTCCAACTCCTGTTTGTAACTTGTGATTGCTTTCAATAAGCGATTCTGCTGGTTTGCATCATGCCATACCAGTTTCTTTCAAGAGATCTAAATATACTTTCTTTGAGAAGTAAAGTTTCCCCTTTTTACTCTGGCAACTTCAATTCCCAACAAGTACTGCAATTTTTCAAGATCATTGATCTCGAATTCCTGTGCCAACAGCTTTTTCAACCGAACAATCTATTCTTTATCATCTCTTGTCATTACTATATCATCAACATAAACTATGAGAAGAGTAACTTTACCGCTTTAATGTCTTATGAAGGGAGTATAATCGGCATTGCGCTATTGGTAACCAAGTGAGATCATTACTTTGCAAAATTTGTCAAACCAAGCTCTAGGAGATTGCTTCAATCGTACAGGGCTTTCTTCAATTTGCACACATTTCCTCGACTCTGTTAAGTATCAAATCTGTGAGAAAGCACGGGAGAAAATATATCGAAGAATGCGAACAATTGCATCCCAGTGACTATCACAGGGAGAATCCATAAACTGACTTACAACACTCACCGAAAAAGAAATGTCAGGTCTAGTCACTATGAGATAATTCAATTTGCCAACCAACCTCCTATATTTCGTAAGATCTCTAAGAGGCTCCCCCTGTCCAGGCAGAAGCTTAGCATTCGGATCCATAGAGTGTCAACAGGTCTGCAGCCCATCATTCCAGTCTCCTCAAGAATGTCTAAAGCATACTTCCGCTGTGAAATAACAATACCTGAGCTAGACTGAGCGACCTCAATACCTAGAGAATACTTCAATCTGCCTAAATCCTTAGTCTGGAAGTGCTGAAAGAGATGCTGCTTCAGATTAGTAATACCATCTCTGATCATTGCCAGTAATAATAATATCATCAACATAAACCACCAGATAAATACACAGATTAGGAGCAGAATGCCGATAAAACACAGAGTGATCAGCTTCACTATTAGGGGTGTTCAAAACCGAACCGAAACCGAAAACCGAACAGAAACCGAAGCTTAATGGCTTATTGGTATCGGGTTAACAGTTTAACGGACGGGGAACAGATTGAAATTTTTTATTAACGGCTTATTGATTTGGGGACGGATTATTCAATTTTCTTAACGGATAATCCTTTAACCCGTTAAGAATATATATATATATATATACATATAAAATTTGTTTTTATCCATTTTTATATTAAATAGTCAAAAACCCTTCTTCCTCCAGTACTCTGTCAAAGTGAATTAGAATAAAAGAAAGCCAAATAAAAGGAGTCATCTAACTGTGACAAAAGACAGAATTTGTTGTCTGAAACAAGATAACAACACTAGTTATACCACTGCTTCATTAACTTTGCCTGGGTTTTATGGTATCCTAGAATTCAAAGCATGACGAACATTTGTTTTAACAACGGCCAATTGGAAATCTTTCACGTGGACTAAGGCCAATCTGTATAAACATAAATAAGATTCTAGACAGATGATTTACCCATCACGGTGTCTCTTCTACTTCGTCCCTCTTAGTACGTCGACCACCTATTTAAACATACAGAGACTAAATTTTATTTTATTTTGATTGAATTAGGCCAATAAACCGTCCGATAAGAGCTAAACCGATACAAATCCGCCCGATATCTTATCGGGTGGCTAGCGGATTAATACATTTAAAAGCCGATAACCAATAAGCCAAACCGTTAAGAGTAAATAACCGCCCAATCCGCCCGATAAGCAGCCCTATTCACTATGAGTCATGCCGAACTCCTAAATAACTGTGTTGAACTTACCAAACCAAGCTCGAGGGAACTGTTTCAAACCATATAGTGACCTGCGCAATCGGCATACAAGACCACAAGACTCCCGTTGAGCAACAAAACCAAGTGGTTGCTCCAAATAAACTTCTTCCTCAAGATCACCGTGGATAAAAGCATTCTTAATGTCTAACTGATAAAGAGACGTACAGATGCTACTTTAGCCACGAAAGAGAAAGTGTCACTATAATCAAGCCCAAAAATCTGAGTGTAACCTTTTGCAACAAGACGAGCCTTAAGCCGATCAACCTGGCCATCCGGGCCGACTTTGACCGCATAAACCCAACAACAACCAACAATAGACTTACCTGAAGGAAAAGGAACAAGCTCCCAAGTGTCGCTCGCATGTACAGCAGACATCTCCTCAATCATAGCATGTCGCCATCCTGGATGAGATAGTGCCTCACCTGTAGACTTAGGGATAGAAACAGTGGACAAAGATGATATAAAAGCATAATAAGGTGATGACAGACGATGATAACTTAAACCGACATAATCGGGATTATGATTAAGTGTGGATCGTACACCTTTGCGGAGTGCAATTGGTTGACTAAGAGGAGACAAGTCCACAGTAGGTGCAGAATCTAATGCAGGACGCGAATCACCTGGGCCTGATGCTGGACATGGACGACGATGATAAGTCAAGATTGGTGGAGCTGCAGAAGGTTGAACTGGACTAGGTGGTGGAATTGGAGCTATAGGTGGTGGAGTTGGAGTTGTAGAGGAAGATGAATGGGAAATAGTGATTGAATCTCCAAAAGATGAAATTGGTAGCACCTCGAAAATATCTAAGTGATTACTTGGACCTGTGAAGTATGATTGGGTTTCAAAGAAGGTAACATCAACGGACATAAGTTACCGCTGGATGTCAGGAGAATAACATCGATACCCCTTTTGCGTTCTCGAGTAACCCGGAAATACACACTTAAGAGCATGAGGAGCTAACTTATCTTTTCCTGGAGTAAGGTTATGAACAAAACACGTTCTTCCAAAGATACGAGGTGGAAGAGAAAACAAAGGTAAGTGGGGAAACAGGAGAGAGAATGGAACTTGATTCTGGATAGCTGAAGATGGCATACGATAAATAAGATAGCAAGATGTAAGAACTGCATCCCCCAAAAACGCAACGGAACATGAGATTGTATGAGTAGGGTACGAGCAGTTTCAATAAGATGTCTATTCTTTCTTTCAGCTACCCCATTTTGTTGAGATGTGTACGGACAAGATGTTTGATCAATAATCTCATGAGAGTTCATAAACTGCTGAAATGGGGAAGACAAATACTCTACAGCATTATCACTATAAAATGTGCGGATAGAAACCCCAAATTGATTTTGAATTTCAGCGTGGAAGGTTTGGAAGATAGAAAATAACTCTGACCGATTTTTCATCAAAAATATCCAAGTGCACCTGGAATAATCATCAATGAAACATTGATAGTTCCTTTTCAGTCTGAGTCATGAGTCTGTTTTCTATTGTTTGTTCCAGCAAAGCTAAATCTTCCGGAAGTTTGGTTCTTTGAGCTTCCAACTGACCAAAGGTTGTTCTGTTCCAGTCTGTGATGTCTTTTTTCAGACTTCTCAGTTTTTGCACTAATATGAAGTCTGGACCGCCCATAATTGAGTAACTGTTCCACCATTCCTCAATTTTATTCATTAAACCTTCAACTTGAAACCACATGTTTTCAAATTTGAAATAGGAAGGGTTGGCTTGCCAATCACCACATTCCAATAGAAGAGGCCTATGGTCTGATTCAACTCTTGAAGAGCCAGCTGCTTGATTGCTTTAAAGTTGTCATTCCATTCTGGTGATATTAAAAACCTATCAATTCTGGATGCTCGCAAAGAGTCCTCCCCCCTGAACCAGGTGTAATTAGCACCTTGAAGGGGTCTACCAATGATGCCAAAGTCTTGAATGATGTTCGAGAAAGAGTTCATTGACCTGGATGTACCCCCCCCCTCCCCCCCACACCCCCACCACTGTTGGACCATTGCCTTTTATCCGAAAGCACAATAACCCCACCACTTCTCCCAATTGAGTTCAGAGCTGCCCATTCGACCCATCTATTGCCCCAAACTTGTCTGATCAAGAGAGGTGATCAGTCTTCATCTTTGTTTCTTGTAGACATACTATATCGGCTTTCCATTTGTGAATTACTGACTTTATTGTACTCCTTTTTTCTGCTTCATTGAGACCCCGCACATTCCAGCTAAGAATTTTGATCTTCATCCAGAGAAAGCTTTGTAATACCTGCCCCTAACCCCTTCCTTCATTCCATCAGAATTCATTCCCCATTTCAGTCTTTCTAGCTCCAATGTTTGCTTTTTCTTACCCTTCGCACTTGCCTTGATTAAGGATTTTTGCTTCTGGATTCGCTCCTATCTTTTTTGTTCCATGCGCAAGACCATATCAAGGATCTCATGCTCAAACCCCGAAAAATGAATTCCAAATGCCTTGCATGCTTTGACCATCACTGATTTGGTCCATCTTGAAGTTTCTATAATTGCTGGAAAGCTAATTGGGTGCGAAATGGAGGAGCCCAAATCATACCAAGGGAGGGAGAGAGTGTCACAAGAAGAGGCGTTAGCTTCAGAACTACTTACTGGTTCAAATAGCTTTAGCGATGGCTGGGATGGGATAATTGATTTCCTCTATTCTGCGTCATGGTCTGCTTCTGATGTTAAGTCACACGAGAAGTCGCTGGCCAAGTGAACTGTTCGAAGCCCTTCTATGGCTTCTATTTCAGCAGCAATTGGGTCAAAGTGATTTGCAAGAGAGATTGGGCTGCTTTTATTAACACATGGGTCTAAAAGAGGACCAATAGCGCACCACTTCACTGAAGTCCCTTTTGTTTTTAATTTGGTTTTTGGGCCTCATCTGTAATAGACTTGGTCTATATTTTGGCCCATTCTTTTAGCAGCCTCTTTGCGTAACTTATTATTTGTAAGTTGGGCTGGTCCACACGGCGGAATGTCCAAGGTGCTCTTGTGAACCCTATTTGAATTAAAGAGGCTCGGTCGTCTATGCTGCAAGTTATTAACCGATGGGTTTTCTTTTGTCTTCTTTGATTGGCTCGATGAAGCGACCGCCGGCGGAGCCTTCAACCCTACTTCCACCATTTTTCCTTTTGTTGGAGCTGCTTTATCCTCCCCATCCACTATAATTTTTGATGGTTGGTCTTCCACAATTGAGATCTTGAATCTCATACCCTCTATCGCCAGTTCCAGTTCCTTTGGGGGGCTTCAACTTCACTTTGGACACAGATTCTAGCCCAGTAAAAGTGAGTTCTTTGCTTTGTGTCTTCATCCACATCGATATAGCCTCCACAGCGCTCACCGATATATTGAAAAGTATCAGTTGTCCAGCCATGCAAAGGAATGCCAAAAGCTTTGACCCATCTTTGCCTTGCTTCGTTGGTCATTGGAGAAGACCCATATTCCGGCGACCACCATTCTAGGGATAGTCGTCTTCCATTCCAGAACCAATCCCCAGCTTTGACTCTGGCAGCTTCTTGTTTTGAAGGTAACTCAAAGAGGAATTTGTTGTGAGCAACAAGGGTGATTCTAAGGCCAGCCGTCACTTTCCACCTTGTGAGAAACCATTTCTGAATGACTTCTGTGTTAGGGCTTGAGTTGAAGGGATCATGAAGCAGCCAACTAAGCATTTTGCTAAAAAAATCTTTTGTTCCACCTAGGGTACTGTCTTCTACCTGCTGTATAGGTCCTCGAGATTTCCGCAGCAACTTTGAATGGTCTTTTTTGTAAATCTGAGAATTCCTTGTATTTGTAATTTGATGCTTCCCCAAGAAAATGTAATATTTTGCCTGCTATGTCTCCCCAGCCCTTGTTGTGAACCACTTCTGGGATGATTACTGCTTTTTTCCTATCCCCAACCCAAACTTCAATTCTGAGATATCTGCCATAGTTGTTGTAGTTTTGATAGACTCTATAGACGTAAGCTTGAATCTTCCTCCCCCATCTTCTGTAAAGATTACCATATCCTGTGAAGCTTGTTGCATTTGCTCACAAACCCATCTCAAGTTTTCTTCGTCAATCTGAATCCTCGTAAATCTTCAACCACGTTCTATCCAGACATACCATCTGTCAGTTCCTTTACCGTCTTAAATAAGATCAAAAAAATTTGTCACCGGAAATAAAGAAGGATTTCCTCCCATATAGACGAGAGAGAGGACTCACCGGAAGGAGGAGATTAGAAAGAGAAAATTCCAGGTGGCACATTTCCCAAGTCAGAGCTCATTTTTTTACGTCTGAAACTTGCAATATGTCAAAGTTCACATATGCTCCATCAGTTTCAATTTATGTGAACCTATTTCTTTTTTAATCCGTGCCAAAAAGAATGACCTCTTTCCATATTTGAAACAATTTACCTCTATGCAATGATTTATAACCACACAAAATATATGTGCCTCATTTTACACCACAAGTTCAAAAGTCTTCTCTCTTTTCTTAAACTCCGTGCCCAGTCAAATGGATTAACATAAATTGAAAAGGATGAAGTATATTTTAATTTTTCCTTGCATTGCGCCTTTTTTGACTAAAGCTCACACTTAAATTGCACTTTGCGCTTAAAGCCCCAATTGACCTAGAATGCTTTTTAGAGCTTTTCGCCTTTGACAACATTGCTTCATACTAAAGTTTCAATCTTAATGTCTCATAGATCTTGATAGATTGCCTTCCAAGAATTGCAAGGAAAGTACCAACAGTTCAGAGAGAGAACCAGCTAGACTGTAAGCAGCTCGAATTCATCAAACAATGAATGATGATTACAATCTACATTTGCAGGTTTTATCTATTTTAGAATTAAAGGCTCTCAAGAAATTGTGCAAGATTTCTTCATTTTTTGAACAGAAGTATAGGAAAAGCACCTACTTGTGGGTAACCCAAGCAACCAACCATAAAATTACCATCCTGCATTAAGGTAAAAATTTTATCAGAAAACCTTGCATAAAAACTAGGAAAAATCCAATCAGAAAATGGAAAATAGTTGATTATAGAAATGCAAATCGGACATTGTTAAGCATGCCGCCATCTCACATATCCCAATTTAGCCAATAGATGATTTCACACAACAAACAGGCTCTTGATGTAGTGATATCTACACTAACATGCTGGTCTTCAAAAGGAAAACTTTAGGCCTGGTGCTTTAGTGATGGCCCTCAGGGGCGGATTTAGCGTAACTCCTACGGGTTCAATTGAACCCATAACATTGACGCGGTGAATAATATATGTATAAAATTTACTAAAATTGCAACAACATGTAGATAGGAACCCATAACTTTAAAAATATAACGGGTTCAATATTAAGAATCTTAAACGCTGAAACCATAGAGTTTAAGTCTTGGATCCGCCTCTGATGGCCCTTATGAAGAGAATGCTGACGGACTCAAGTTAATGGTATCCTAGTTCTATGAATAATCATCATACTTCTTCTCAGCAATTAATCTGTTGTCTCCCATTAAAGGCCACATGCTGAATGAAAGAGGCACAATGGAGCTGGAGCTCGAGCTCGAGCTGGCGAAGAGACCCCAAAAAATAAGAAAGAAAGTAATTGTAAGCATTACCGGTTTTTGTCTGAGTACCATATCTGATTCTAGACAAAGTCCACATCTCCGCACGACATCTCCAACTGCTTGTTGCTCGCCACCGCTGGATCTATTTGATCTGCAGAGCCACAATTCTCAAGCAATGAAAAGGATGATCCCGGCATCAGCAAAGCAAGCAAAAGATGTACCTTTCAAAGAAGATAGCCATGGCTTCAAAGAGTTTTCCTTTGTTTGCCCTGGCCTGCAAAAAAGTTTCTCTGAGTACATAAAAAGTAAAACGAAGTACCTTGAACCTAAGGTACATGAAGCACTGTGTCTCATTCTGATTAGTATCTTAGCATAGGCATCCCTTTGTCCTGTAACAAATAAGCGGTGGAACCTCTTTTCGAGCAAAAGTCTAGCTATAATTATTTTTAAGATCTAAGCACTTCTGCCTTATGCCAAAAGTATTTTGGTAGGACCAGCAGCAGGAGATGCTGAAGATTCTAGTAAACAGTATGATCACCATTACTAACAACATAATCTTTGGAAATCAGATAAAGACACAATTTGATGAGATCTTGGATTCAAGCCTTGCTGTATTAGCAATAAGTACCTCACATCCTTGTGGAAAGATGATATGCAAACTAGGTTAGAGGCCATAGTTGTCAACAGAACTCTCCCTTCTCTAACAGCTTGAGCTACTGAAGTAGACATATATAATCAAACTAGAGAAATAACATGCAGGGACCAATTTAATGGCAAGTAGCAAACAAGTACTTTCTATAACTCATGAAATATGCAGCCATTTTATTTTGCAAGGGGGGTGGAAACAAGGACTCAGTATTCTGCAAATTCATTTATACAACAACAACTGACAGCATTTATCCAACTTGTAGGACAGCAACTTGACACCAAATAGTGTAAAATGGAAATAATCACTGCCTCAAGCATAAATTAACATGCTTGTAATGGTTTGTGTCATGCCACTTTTAGCTAGGACGTTGGAAAGCAATACGAATACCCAAACCCTTAGCTTTTTGAAGAAACTTTGGACTGGAGAGACTCGAAGAGCAAATTCTATACCAAAGAACTTGGATTAATCCACAAGATAAGAAGATTGGATAGTCTTCTACCTAAACTTCCTTGAGATTATTGAAGCGCATGAATTGTAATGCTTATTTCTTTGGTTTTGTTTAAGCTTAACCATTATTCTTGGCTAAGCTCTAAACAAAGATTGTTACAAAACCTCATGTCTACATAAATATATTCTTGATTTCTTGCATATTTAATCTTGAGTTTTTATGTTATTTGCTTGGTTTGATTGCATATACAAGGTTAGGACTAGGCCAATTTCAGCCCTTGTAACCAAATTCGCGTGAGCCTTACTGCATTTTAGTGCAACAGGAAAGATCAATTAAATTAAGCTCGTTAGATGGTGGGAAAAATTGAGATTCATGCCTAATAAAAGTTGTGGATATGAGGATGGTGAGATGGATATGTGGTCATAGTAGGAGGGATAGGATTAGGAATGAAGATATTCGAGATAAGGTGGAAGTGGCATGTGTGGTGGACAAGATGCCGGAAGCGAGATTGAGATGGTTCGGGCACGTGAAGCGGAGAGGCACAGATGCCCCAGTGAGGAGGTGCGAGAGATTGGATATGGTGAGTCATAGGAGAGGTAAAGGTAGGACGAAGAAGTATTGGGAGAGGTGATCAGACAGGACATGGCACATCTTCAGCTTACCGAGGACATGACCCTTGATAGCAGGGTGTGGAGACTGGAGATAGAGGATTAGGATTGTAGGTTAGTAAGTAATCGGGCACATTTCCTTTCCAAACCTGTGCTTCCTTTTATAGTTGTAGTACTAGTGTTATCCTCGTGTTCCCTATTTTCATGTCGATATTATTATCTGATGTTTCCTTTTCTTCCTTTTCTTCGATTTCTTTTTTTTTCCGATTGTTGTTACTATTTCGCTTACCATAGTTTTTTTGCCATAACTGTTATGTTTTTGCTTTATTGAGCCGACGGTCTTCGGGAAACAGCCTCTCTACCTTCACAAGGTAGGGGTAAGGTCTGCGTACATACTAGCCTCCCCAAACTCCACTTGTGGGAATACACTAGGTATGTTGTTGTTGTTGAGATTCATGGCTAATAACACTAGCACAAGCAGAATTAAGCAAGGAATTAGGCAAGCATTAGGTTTGGCATAAGGGGAAGTTACAACCTTAGGTCTTTTATCACTCATTCTCTCGAGACTTCTTTTGTTGATCTATTCTTTACTTGCTTCTTCATTAAGTAACTTAATGTTGAAAGTAGTTACTAGTTTAAATATGCATTTTTAGCAATTGTTTGGCTTAGTCAATTGGTCATAATTTCATTAGCAATCCTAGCTCCACTTTTTAGTGGGATCGATATTGGACGGACCTCTACATTATATTTGTGACAACTTCTTACTCCTTATAGAGTATTCGCTGGGCATTACTAATTCGTCAAAAGTTAGTTTTAATACCTTGTGAAAGAATATGAGCATCCAACCAAAATCTTAAACAATGAGAGGAGGACTTCAAGACCATTACAAAACCGCTTTGGATAACTTTGTACTCTCTAACACCATTTTGCTTCTTGGACTTCCCCTGACCATGATTTTGAGTGACAAAGGGCACAGAGGGAAAGCAAGTAACCAGTGCTCTTAAGAAAATGTTGCAATTCAGGGTGTTAAATTTAGCCCATATCAATATATACTGCCCAACCCAAGTCTAGGTGTGGCTAGGCATACATTTATTGGCGGGTCAATTTCGGCATAAGCCAAATTAACCCATCTAAAAGCTTGTGCCAATTTGGGTTAACCTATGATGCCTAAATTGAACCATAAGAGAACTTATCAAAACATTGAAAATAAAATTATCAATGTTTGTTTAGCTAAATATAGTCATGAGAACTCAAAAAGCTTTTGGTACTTTGATTTGACAATTAAACAAATTATAAAAGAACAAACAAAGAAATAAAACAAATTGGATTATGATCCATCCTTTAGCCTAAATAAACTCGCCCTTCTTAACCCAAGCAAATTTTGGGCGGGTTATTAACACAATCCGTTAATCAACTCAACTTGCTTCAACCTACCAAATTTAGCCCAACATGCTCATTTGAAACCCCTAGCAGCAATAATTTACGATCTGTCAAGCCTCACAACTGTGGGAAACAACCTTAGCCAACGCAACAGGTCCATATACTACAAATGCTAATATCAAAGAAAAGATAATGTTTACTACCCTTTCATAGAGTAACAAAATCATGCCCTAAGATAAGTAAATACACTCAAAGAGGAAAACCTATACTTTAGGCTATGTCGTATATTAATGCATTTCAAGTAAAATATGGAATAAAAGAATTCATTCAAAGGGAAGTCTAAACCTTCTAAAATGCTAGTTTTCGAAATCGCTACGTTGTGCCACGGTATCAACAAAGTCCCACTGTCTTAAGAGATGAATCTTGACAAAGTAGCATGCTCTCTTCAAAAGGAGACACAATTCCATTGCTCCGAATGAACTTTTAAGTTAAGTATCGAAAGAAAATCTTAAAAATCATTTGTGTTGCTGAATTTTGTTATTTACTTACATCTAAAAAACAAGCTTTCATCTGCTGCAAGGAAGTTTCTAGAACCTCTGTCTTTCTCTTGGTTCCCATGCTAACAGCTTTCATATCACATTCCATCATAGCACGGAGATATGGTTTCCATAGTTCATAACTGTAATAGAAAAAGAAAAGAATAAAAGGTTGCAAGTTACTTAAATATTGTAAGCCAGTACTAATGTAGTATAAAATGTTAGCACATATGCAACAACATAATCATGCTTAAAAAGAAATTGTGAAGATTTCTAACATGAACAAATGTTTAATCAAAAATAAAGCTAATATAGTGGGAAATATACCATCAATTTGTTAGTTCATATAACATTTTTGAAAAGAGATATGCTCATTGAATAGCTTGTGCAATAATGTGTTGAGGTTTTAACAGTCTAATAAATGGTTTCTAGAAAGCTCTCTACTTCCTCTAACACTGAGGCTAAAGGTGACCTTGCTCTTTGTTTCTTATGGATCATAAGTTGGAAGTTGTGTTCTGTAGGTCTTTCTGTCTCAACAAATATGAGAGTAAAACATTGGTTCTTATCTAAAAAATTGGGCTAAGAGAACAATTCCATATAGCTTTAACTCATAGTGAGACATAGAGCTAGTGAAATCTCTTTGCTTTTGTCAAGGATGTTTGACCATCAATTTTTTAAGCCCGCATAATGCTGCTACTATTCAAGTTGGAAAGGAAGTTGAAAAACCTTGACAGATATAAAAGAGCTCACCAAACCACAAACTGAAAAACGCTCACCCAACCATATATCAATTCAATTGTGGGTTTTTAACACTTCTAATGTTGTGGTTCTAATTCAAAAGCCTAATGAATGAAACATTTACATAACTTGCGAAGTTTTTCCCCAGATCACATAAAAGCGTTTGGGGTAAAAAAGGGAGAATGTCCTAATCGATTGAATCACCTTTTTATCGCGACATGCATCATCTCAACCAATCAATGCCCAATGTGTTTGAGCGAGAAGCGGAAAAAAAACGACAAGGGCACGAAAATTCAATTAAATTAACAACTGGAAAAAAAATAGAATAATATAAAAATTCAATTAAATTAACAAAGTGAAGAAAAACAGAGCACCTAGAAAAAAACAATAGAGCACATGTAAAAAATACCAAGAGAAGAAGACAAATAAATAAATTCAATTAATTAAAAAAACTGAAAAGGGGAATAGAAATAATTTAAAATTTCAATTACTAAATTAACAAAGTAGAAAAAAGACATGTTGCTGCACACATCATCAGCAGAAGAAGAAGAACAAGAGGGGGAGCATAAAGCCACAACCCTAGCTGCAGTCGCACAAGAATGTCACTTGAGAAACATTTTGGTACAAGTTTAGATTTTTTTTCTTAAATAGTCCAGTTTTTTCTTCCTCGCTACACACGCTTCTTGTTTCCTAGGCAGAAGCGAGCGCTTCACTAAACCTCATTCACCTCAACTCTCTTAAGCACAACAGAGGCCACATAGCTTCATTTTCACGCTTAAAGCACTGAAGCGCTCAATATCCGCACCAATGTTAATGCCTACCTTAATTGTTACCTTACATCTGATGAAATACAATCTGCATTAGCATACCATAACTCAGCAGATTGGGATTAGTCAGAATTAGTTAGATTGATTCTTTCCGGTAATTAGGTGGTCGGAATATTTTCTTTCCTATTTTATCACTTGTACGTTCACTATTAAACCCAATAGCTTGAGCGAATAATCAAGCTGAGTTTCATTAAATTTTCTCTTCCTTATCTTATTTTACATGGTATCAGAGCCCTTGTGTAAAAACTCTTATTGTGCTATCACCGGCAACATTAGGAAGGAGGAAAAGTTCATTGTCCTGTTGTTTTTAGTGACCAGAAAAGTCGTCCGACTCAACTTTAATTTTTGGCAATGTTGTGTGAAAACCAAGACTACCACTAGGCTCGTAACTACTTTCATATATGCCTCCACGCACCGTCAAAGTCTAGAGTTTTTTCGGTGACGCGTCAGCACAACTCTTTTGCGTGTGCGGTTGTCTCTGATAAGATCTCCTTGAAATTCTTTTGTTGTCTCGTCTCCTCATTCCGCCCCTACCCGTCCAAGTTTATGAAGATTCCGAGACTAGGGTTCCAACGAGGCTTAAATAAATTTTTCTGGTCATATTTCACTTTTCCGACAACTTTCCAAAGGCTGGTTTCTGATCCTTGGGTTACCTAGACATTACGTGGTCAACCACTCTATTTTTGGCCACTTTCAATAACTTTTCTAAGCTTTTTCAGTGTTTTTACACAATTCTCGTCACCAGAACCCTATTTTGGTATTGTTAGACCATTTTTTAGCCAAATTTGCATAATACAGACCTATCTCCACTTTTTTTTAGCACAGACCAGCTCGACTAGGACTATGGAGTTCCTTACCAGTTTCTAAGAATATTCCTGCGACATTTCCAGCAAGTTTCAAATTACAACAGTGACCATGATCTTTTGGCAACGATATTCAAATTTTTCATTATTTGAGTTGATTTGGCAGTTTCCTAGGATTTGAGAAATTTGGTTGCGCCAAAATCAAATCCAATATGTTGAATGGTCGGATGGTTTCTTTGCCTAATTATATTGAAATCCTTCAGCAAAAAATACGTAAGGAGACATCCTCTAAGATAGCTCCTATCATTCTTATAAGTAATAGTGCGACAGACGTCTCTCGGTCTTCGGGTCATTGATTCAGGTGCATCAGATCACATTTCTGGTAATAAATTTCTTCTGATAAATCCCTTGTCTCTAGTTCTTATTCTCAATCTTATCAAACAATCACAAAGGTTAATGGATCACAAACCATGGCTATTGGAATAGGTTAAGCTAGCTCACTTCATTCCTTCACTTCAATTCAGTTCTTGGTTGTTCTTTTAATCTCATATGCATTAGCCGTTTATCCTAAACACTGAATTACTCAATAATATTCTTCAATAACTTTGTTGTTATACAAGAATGCAGTACATGACAGATCACTGTGAGCGAGCGTAAATCATATGGACTTTATTACATTATCCTTCTGAATCGTTCATAGCTTCTCCTCCCTCCACAATTGTTCAGTTATTGATTCGCTTGATCTATTACATAGACAGTTGGATCATCCTAGTTTGTAAAAACTTCAAAAAGTATTTGTCTCTCGTGTCAACTATTGAAAGTATACTTGCTTCCCTTTCCCTCGATATATTGATAATTAGGCAGAATCTCCTTTCACTTTAGTTCATTCCGATGTTTGGGCCCTAATCGGGTTAGTTCTACCTGGAGATTCCGCTAAATTGTCGATTTCATTGATGATTATTCCAAGTGAAATTGGATACTGTTGATGAAAAATAGTTAGTTGTTTTCTAGATTATAGAATTTCCACGCTGAAATCCAAAATCGATATTTTTATCCGCACATTTCATAGGGATTATGCACCAAGATATTTATCTTCTCCATTTCAGCAGTTCATGAATTCTTATGGATCATTCATCATACATCTTATCCTTACACATCTCAACAAAATGTAGTTGAGAAGAAGAATAGCCATCCCAATGATATTGCCTATACCCTACTCATACAATCCCATGTTCCATTGCATTTTTTAGGGATGAAGTTCTCCCATCTCGTTGTCTTATTAGTTGTATGCCTTCATCATCTATCCAGAAACAAGTCCCACACTATTTGTTCAATCCTACCACTTCTCCTTCTCGAATCCCTACCAAATTCAAAATGCCCACCACCCAATCTCTCTCTTCTTAACATTTCGAGCGCTTAGCCATAAATTCAGACACCAACCTCCTCTCAACGTCTCCCCGTGTCCTATTTCGCCCCCTC